TGTTCAGCAGGCCAGGCAGAAGCAGGACACAACTCCTGCTAGTTCTGCAGTGTCTCTGGCATGCACCACACGGAAAGCTTGGCTCTGCGTGACACGTGCTCCCCACGTGTAGAAACTTACTTTTGGTTTTTTTTTTTTTTTTTACCTATTTTGGATGCAAGTGAATACGTCTGCAGGGAAAATTATTTTGGTCACTTAAATAGAGGCCTCCTGTGAAGAGCAGGATGGCAGGCAGCTCACTCTGACTCCTCTCAGTCCCATAAATCACTGCATCACTCAGCCAGATTCAAATGAACTGTACTGAGTGATGTCCAGCCTTTGCTGAAGCTGATGGCAGCTCTCCCACTGTCTAGTCTTGGCTGAAATGTGCCTTACTGATTTTTAGAGATGATGCTGGACAGTTAATTTAAAACAAGGGGGCAACAGGGAGCATGATCAGACATACTGCTCTGCCTGCAGCAAACCTGTCACTGCCCCTCTGCTATCAGCACATGCAGCGTTTCTTTAACTGTGCTCCATCAAAATGGTCTGACTTAGCTTAAAACTGCTTTTCGGTTAATTTTTTTAATATCAGATTGTTTCAGATGGGTGGGTAGAGAAGCAGCTCTGTCTGTGGTTATTCTACAAGGTTGGAAGGGAGCTATTTTCTCAGTCTCTTAGCTGCAGCAGAACAACATGTCTGACTAAAGGCTTATCTATAAGCGGTGGTGTCATTGATTAACTCTGTGTGTGAGCATATCTTAGTCCCATTTAATATAATCACTTGCTCTGGAAAAGCATATCCATAAAGCTATCCCAGATCAGTTAATGTAGTGCTTATATTCAAATATCTGCTTTAATCTTTGTTAATTTTCAAGTCTAGATGAGATTCAAGACTACTGAACCTGACTAGACCAGACAACTTAAAGGTTAGCTAAAGAACTCCTTATAACTTGTTTAATTACGTATTTATATGCTGGGATACTGACTATATCTGCCTATAGCCTTGAAGGTCTCACCTAAAGTTGGGCCCCTGGGCACATCTCGGATATAAATGTTGCAATGAGGTCCCATTTCACTTGTAAGGGCTACCGAATAAGAAAGCTCAGCATTTACACTCCACCTTACATCTTCAGAGTATTTCATAGACACATAAGACTGAGGTCGCTTATACATTAGGTAGCAAGGGTTTTGACAAACTGCTCATTCAGCCATTCCTCTCCACCTCCCTTGATCGAATGATGGCTTCGGCTTCCTCCAAATGATCCTTTGGATTGGTTAGGCTCTTGGTTGGCTCTGCTTTAAGTGCCTCCATGGAATGGATTTTACTTTTAATAATGTCTCGTAACTGTCTTCAAAGAGGTTTATGGCTCAGCCTTATTCTCTGGGAGATTGACTGTTCTCTGCTAATCTCCTACAGAAACATTGTTATTGGTTCACGCAGTATTTCAGTTAGTTCTCCTCAAGCTCTAGAGTCAAGTTAACTGGACGATTGACCTATGTTAGAGAATTACTATTAGATGAGTAATATTAAGCAAAGGAAATAAGATCTTTCTGTACCTCAGAACATGCTGGGAGCTGTGGGGAGCGGCAGGAAATGGCAGCTCAAGAAGTGTGCAGACCGGGCCCTAGGAACAGGGTTGATTTAGGGAACGGGGAAGTGCTTTGTAATAGCGGAGGTTCTAAAACCCGCAGTTCTTTCTAAAGGAGAGCTAGATGGGGGTAAAAATATACTAGCGTCTTGAGTGTCTGTAAGAGGCAAAAGTATAAGAAAGAAGAGAAATAGATTGTGGCAGACCTGTGAGAGTGCTGGTTTTGATTGCTTTTTTTTTTTTTTTGGCAAACACTATGCTCTCATATAGCTCTCATAACCTGATTAAAGTCAAGGAATAAATAGAGCAGCATTTCATCAGAATGCATTTGTGTTTCCAAATAGAAATGGCATGCTGAAGGCAGGTCCGGTACACTGAAAAAACGCTCAATGATTAATGGCCATGACACTAGTCCACAAGACAAATACGAGCCCTGTAACATCACCAAGTAGCTCAAGACACAAAAACACTGGAAGTGCTTTTGCAGAGCAGTTTTATGCAGAGCAGTGGAAACCTTGCTGCTAAATCCTGGAACTTTTGGGGGCTGCTTCCCAATTTACCTTTACATACTAACCCACCGGATGGGGGTAAATCCTGGAAAAAATTACCTATATGATAAAACCAGCCTATATTCCTTAGTACAAGGCTTTACAGTATTGCCATATTAAAATTGCCAGTTTCAAAACTTCTTTAGCTAAAGTAAACTTCCTTAGAGAACTATAGGTGTCAGCACTCACGTGTAAGTATGTGCTTAACTCTACTGAGACGTGAAGTTTCACTGAGATCAGCAGCACTACTTAAGTAAAGTTACCTTTGGAGGAGTGTCTTGAAGGTCAGGGCCTCAAGCATGAAAGGACTTCAGATTCATATCGGCTGCTGGATAATACTAGCAGCAGGCACCTGGACTGCAGTACTAGTGACGTGATGTGATTTGCTATAGCAAATAATTATACTTCTATCTCATGGAAGACTGCGTTCTCTCTCTTAAACCTTATGTATTCAGACAGGGAAAAAAAGCCAGTGTGCCTAAACTTTAAGTATGCTTCTTGTAACTACAAAGCTGGAGCCCGAGCTGACATGTAATCTGAACGTGTCCCCATTTTAATCTCTGTGGACCTGATTCTGCAGTCAGTCTTTCAAGGTGCATCTCTGATCCCTGCTGGACTGTGCAAGGAGTGATGCACTACTCTGGTTTCCCCAATTAAGAGTCCTGCCGTTCAGGAACTCAGTTCTGCTGCTGGGATTGGGATCACCACCATAAAGTGGAATTTGCAATTTGTAAGAACTGCAAAATCAGGCTCCTTGGGGCAAATGGACTTATTAAGGGCCAAGTGTTTCTCTCTGCTCACCGGCACTCGATGAAACACTGGCCAATCTGATCCTGGAGAGTTTCCTTGATGTTGAGCCCCTCCGTTTCTCTCAGCTTGTCCTTGATGAAGACCTCCTCCTGTCTCTCCTGGACCTCACCTTGCAGGGCATTTATTTGCCTAGCATGCATCTGTGAAATACTCGTTGCCTTTAAGTGAGGAGGTAGGGTCTGAAAACGACAAGAGGAGAAAACAAAAGGTACAAATTAAAAGAAACTTAATATAAACTGGAATGCCAGGTTGACAGTGAATCCGAGCTTAAGCCTTAATTTATTCGCAGGAAGCCAGGAAAAAACCCTGTGCTCATAAAAAGTGCCTGGATGCACACAATGGTCTATTGTTAGTGTTTCGGCATTAATTAACAACATTGCAATGTACAAAAACAACCCTTCCAGCGTGGGATCCTGGGATCTCAATGAGACAGGTGAGAAAGCTGCTGTTCTGCAAATGCCAACTTTATCCATGTCAGAAGGGTGCCAGAGATTTTTTTAATTGAATTTTCAAATGTTTGGACTTCCCATTGGTACTTCTTAATTAGCCAGTATTGTTTTTAATTTGTTCACTTAAATTTTTATATGCATTGCTTGGTCAGTGGTTTCCTGGTATTTTGTTGCAGCTGGTCATATTCCTTTAGGAAATCAACTTCCCTTGAGGAACAACAACAACAAAAGAATAAACAAACCCCCAAAACACTGTAATAAAAATCATAGCTCCCCAAGTTTCCCATGATTTGATAACCTTGGCAAGAAGGACTTCTAAGCCAGTTTAAAGTCTTAGAATAATTTCTGCTTTGTGATTGATTTTACATGTGTACTTTGAGAGAGAAAAATGAAAGTCTTTCTGGTATGCAAATACAGAAGCATGAAAAATACCATCTGTGTGGGTGGTCCGAAACTTTGCGTTTTTTAGTTTGCAATGGTTGATAAAGTTAAGATGTTCCCAGTATTTTACGAGCTATTACTACCTTGTAAGTGCAGAGAAAAATATATTTTAAAAATTAACTTGTAAACTAGCTTTGGTTTTTTTGCAATTCCAAAACAAAATATTTTCCACGTACTTGGGAAGTAGTAATCATATTGTCTGACAGTGTATGTCAAATTTAAGAATAGAAAAGAGGAGAAAATATGATAATCTGTTTTTGTAATACGGTGTGTTTTACTCTTCAAAGTTAGTGACTATCTGACATATAGGTGGCAGCATATGTGAACAAAAGTCTGGGACTGTTGGTTTGCATGAAAAACACCTATACTATTCTGCTCTGGCCTTCCACCTTCAGAACATATAGAATTTGTCCTTAAATCAGCACAACTCAGACTAATTTAGTAATACATTCTCCTTGCTCTGGTGATGTATTTTCTCGCGTGCTCCGAGTCCTAATTCCAGAGGTCTCCCGCAAAGACAAAAAAACTTTTATCAAAGGTTTGGCCAGCTTATATTTAAGATCTGTTAGCTGGTGTTTTTCCATGCTTCGACCAGGTTCCAAAAATCACTAACAAGTGCCAAGCAAATTTGGTTTCAGAAAGTACACAGCAGGGTTGCACACTATCCAAAGTAAGCGCAGAGGCCCCGCTCAGGAAAGCAATTTATTGCCTTCCCTGCATCTGCGATATGTGACTTGCACTATGCAAAAGGAATTGGTCAAGGCCACCAGTGAGAAAATATTCAGGAGGAAAAAAGAAGAGCAGCATGCGGCTGCACATGCTCTTTTCCTGAATGTATGACCCAAAATGTTGCCTTTCACCCTGTTACCTTCACTCATGTTTCAGTTTCCATAGAAGTCAAGTGTTTCTAATTTTCACCTTCACCAGCACCTATTTTTAAGTATAGCACAAATAATATTAACACTATTTGCTTGTATTTCACCTGGATTTCACCGTTATCTGTCTTTCTTACATTAAATGAACCTCGGAATAGCCAGATGTGATGATGCTTTCTCAGGGCTCCTTTGGAAACCAGAGGGGAGGACCCATGAGGCTTGCTTTCAAGATTGAGATCTAGAAACAAGATCCACTTCCCTCAGGCGGTTTCCCACTCAACTCTTGCTTCACTACAGCAATGCTCAAGGGACTGCTTTTCTGAGAAGTTCCCACCGGAGTACTACTGCCTAGAGGTTTTGGTAGCAGGGCTGCTACTGAAGAGATGAGCCAGCTAGAGCCAGCATGACTCTTCCATGTCTTTGTATGCTGCCGTAGCACAGTCTGAACAGACACTGCATTATGCACAGAGGACAACCTACCAGATTTCCTAACTGGATGCTCACCAGGGGAAGCTGGGGAAGGGCTGTTTCATTTAGA